GATTTATTGTCGGCCCAAGTGGGAGAGGATTGTGCAAGAGGAGCTGCAGGCGGGGCCAGCAGGGAGCAGCATCTGATCAGAGTAGGGCAAACCGGTCCCGTAGAGCTGGTATTGGAAGGGACTTTGTGTATGGAAGTGTGCTCTCCGGCTCGGGGGACCTTGATCTGCACTGCAGGCAGGTGAAAATGTTTATATACATATATATATATATAAAATATATATGTATAGTTGTAATGTTTTGGGACAAAAAAAAGGATTAGCTCATATAATCTGAGGTGATAGTCTGAGGTTTGGGGCCCCATTGCCTAATATAATGTCTCTGTATTTCATTAATCATAAAATTACAGAATGCTTAAGGCGGGAAGGGACCTCAGAGGTCATCTAGTCCAACCTTCCTGCCCCAGCAGAGTCACCCAGAGCACGGGGCACACGGCGGCATCCAAGCGGGTTTGAAAATCTCCAGAGAAGGAGACTCCACAGCCTCCCTGGGCAGCCCGTTCCTGGCCACTGGCACCCTCACTGTTCAGAAATTTTTCCTTAAGTTCCCATGGAACTTTCGGTGCCTCAGCTTGTGGCTGTTTCCCCTAGTTCCATCAGTGGCCACAACCAAAAAGAGGCCGCCCCATCCTCCTCGCTCCCTCCCTTGAGGTATTTATAGACACCGATCAGATCCCCCCTCTGCCGGCAAGCTGAGGGCTTTGCAATTCAGGGCTCTGCATGTTTCATATATGTATATTTTATATAAATATGTATATTTTCATGTTTAGATAAATGTCTATGTTATATATCATATGTCAGAATGCAGTTTATTTAGCRCTGGTTACTTGGGGAATGATCTTTGTTGCTTCAGTATTTCAAGGACCRATGTGTTTCAGAGGGGTTTCTAGATGAGCACTGTTTCCAGGTGAGCATTAGTAAACAGATCTCAAAGGTAATTTGTGCCAGTCAGAGAAACTGTAGAAGAGAAAAGTTTGTTTCTGCAATTAAAGTTGTGACTATTGCGAACATTAAGAAGATGATGTTATAGCTGCCCGTACACTGCACACGATGGGTATGTTAGGGCCCGTGCACTGGACACGAGGGGTATGATGTGCTGTGCGAGCCAGATAACGGCATATAAACATGCCAAATTACACAATGTGCTTTATTTCCTCACAGTATGGCAGGGGCATGCAGGAGCGGAAGCAGCCTGAGGTGTGGCCAGTGATGGGTTGAGTTGACATAGTCCTGGCTTGTACCAAGTGAAGATATTTTCTCACTTTGCAGGCTGCCTATRACAGGGCATAACAAAAGTTAGTGGATGAGCTCCACCATGTTTTGGAAGAGTATCTGCTGGAGGATGCCTTCGATATTTTAATTTGCAGCTGTGGCACCACAAAATAAGGGAAGCCAAGGAGAACTTGTTGGTGCTCCTTGGCATCCGCAAGCCAGCCACAGGAATGAGCTGTAACTTTGCAAATGCTGCCTCAATGTGGTGTTTTGGGGGCCCTACAGGCTGAAGTTCTCCAGAATTTTTTTCGTGACCTACATAATTGACCTATATTATGTGTCTATGTCTTAAACAGGTTACACCAACCAGAAATATGAATGGAAATGGCCTAGTTATTTATTTATACTGAGGTAAGTGCCTGTTGTCTGCAGCGTCATAAGGGAGGACCATTTCCAGATACTGCTCCCCACCTCCATGTTTGACCTGTACCTTGAACGGTGACAGTAAAACTTGAATTGATTCTGCTTTCAAAGAAAAGATGTAAAATTGTTGTTATTGCTTTCTCAGGCAAGGAAATACCTCCACATACATGCTGGTATGCAAGACCATGTATTTAGAACACTTTCTAGTGTTCTTTCTAACACTAGAAAGAAAAGCACGAGTGAGAAAATGCAACAAGATTTTCAAGCCTTTGACTATCAGGACAGCAGGGAGGACCCTGGTGTGCATTGCGCTTGAGTTGCTCCGAATTTAGGCATTCTTCTGGAGAAATGGCGCTACCATGCACCACAGGTGCCTAAATATAATCTCATAAGTGGCTTTATTTCTCCTTGCCTCGTTGCAGCTCGTCAGTCCAGAAGGAATTGCTTGAAATCTATGCTGATGGTGGAATCTGGTGAATGACTGAGGTTTTGGGGGAAAAAAAAGCTTCTGAATTTAATGGAATTGCCCCTGCTCCCAGCATGGATATGTGTGGCTTTTTACAACAACATGCAGAGCCTGGCAAAATGGCCTTGAGGAGCAGATTTGGAGTAGGGCTGAAGACCAGATGTCTGCTGCTACAACCCAACCAGTTCCACCAACACTGCTGTTGGACAGTTCCTGCTGCTATGTCATCATTCACACATGCAGGACACAGACAGGTATCATCTAATAAAGGAAAACTCCCATTTTTGTTTTCTATGTCTGTGTTCTCAATGTATTTTTCACTTTACAAGGAGGTTGTTTTCCCAGTTTCCTGAGAAGGTGGAAAAAAACACATGGATTTAGAAAACGTTTTGTGCACGGTGGGCCCAGGCTGTGGCAACACAGCCCTTGTCCAGCTTGAGGAATGAGAGGAACCAAAGCAACCAAAGATTCAGACACAGCTTTAGGGGTTTGCTCTCTGAAGCTGTTGTGTCAGCCAGACTTTGGCTTTTTAACTTTTAACACTCTTAGCTCTGACCTTAATTAAGCTTTGAGGAAGGAGACTTAAAGAGCTGTCCACAGCTGCTGTCGTTGTATTTATCTCAGCTGCTGATCAGCGCAGCAGAGGAAAATGCCAGAGAAGCACTGACTTTAATTTAGGGTAGCTTAATAAAAAAAGTGCAGCGTTGCATTCAGAAAGTTGCACTCAGTTTAAACATCTGCCTTAGATTTGAGGGCAGTGTTTTTCCCTTCTGAGATGAAGGCTGCCCCTCAGGGCCTACCAGTCATCTTCGGGGTCCCTCCTCATCCCAGTATTTCTCGAAGAGGAGGTCACAGCCTGCCCCCCTACTGCTTCTCCATGTGGTTTTGTGTGACCCTGCTCATCAACGACAAATGCTTAGGGCCTCCTACRGTGGACTGATCCAGAATTTCACTTCTCCACTCTGACAAACGAYGAATCCCTCATTTATTAGGAGATGCAGAAAATTCAGTTGCAAAATAAACATAATGCACCTTGACAGAAAGGGAGTCTTTTCAGGTTTGTTTGCTTATTTGATTGTTGTTGTTCTGGCTGCTTGTGAATACGTGTTAGTGGCAGCCCGATATTGACCTTCGATCATTTGCACTTCAGGAGCTGGAGAAGGAATATCATCCAGTGTTTCTAAGCACCCTTGGACAAGCAAACTAAGTTGAAGTCTGTGTTGCTGCTGTTCAGCACACCGGCCGCCCCCAACTGCTCCGGAATTCAGGGACCYGGGACCATCCTATCCCAGGGACATCAGACACTGACATTAATGTGGTGATAGGCTGAATGCTGTTTATTGTTTTGCTTRCTGTACCTATATACCTTGTGCTGATTCRAAAGTTTCCTAATGCTCCAATCAGAGGTCTAAGCTCTATCTATTATTTTATATGGCGTGGCCAGCTCCGCCTGCCTGGCGTGGCTCTCCTGTCTCTCTCCGTAACATCGCGAGATCTTCCGAACGCCGTGCCTCGTGCTAAATCATGTCTTATGCTACGTCACTTAGGCTAAGCTCCCTACATTTCTAAGCTCCCTACATTTCCCCCTCCCCATGTTAAAGCTCCCACTCCATAAGCTAGTATATAYGATTCTTACGCGTTGTTCTAGCAAAGCGCACCTACTTGTCTAATTCTCTCGCTCTTTTGGATAAACCAGATTTTGCGAGATAGAATAATATTTTTCTAATGCAAGCTAAAGCACAACTACTAAGGCAAAGCACAAAGAATAATATAACAACTAATAGTACCACCCTTATTTATCAGGAGACCCTCCTTGTTTTTCGGGGGTCCTTCCTCCTTCTCCTTGTTGAGGAGTCGCTTCTGCTCCTCGTTTGTCCCGCTGTTCTGGCTGGGGCTCCTCCTCCTTTTCTGTGGTCTCTTTCCCATCAGGAACATCTGTAGGAGAAAATTCTCCAAAACTCGGGGTATTATCTCTTTGTTCTGTCAGCTCAGGGCGGATGCACCTTGCAGGAACCCACTGGAAGGTCTCCTCTTTCTCAATCGCCGCATACCCTCTCCCCAGAGTTCTAAGGCGCCACCCCATTTCCCATTTTATGTTCCTGGGGAATTTTACCCTTACCATAGGTTATTTCTCTGTTTCATCGTCTTCTTTTTTGTAAAAATGAAGGTGTATAGGTATTTGTGTGTTATTCCCCCTAGTATGATGATTAAGCACGTACAGTGCTCGACATAGTAGCTCATGCTGTTTACTTAGGGGAATTCCTTTGGCATAGTCTTCCCCCTTCCCAAGATGCGTGAGCTGTGTCTTTAGGGTATGATGAGCTCGCTCTGTTATAGCCTGCCCCACGCTATTATACRGAATTCCGTGAATAAGTTTTATATCTCACTTCTGACACCATGTGGCGGTCTCTTTGACCCGAAAGCATGGTCCATTGTCTGTTTTTATAACTTTGGGTTTACCTAGCCACACAATGGCAGTCTCCCAATGAGCTATGATAGTTTTTGCCATCTCCTTCTGGTGGGCTGTGGCTATTATAACAGAGCTAAATGTGTCGATTGTAACTGCAAGGTGTTTGTTASGTCCAAACTGTTGAGGTGAATGATCACTATGGTTCCCGACTCAGCTGTAAGGCCCCATCTAACAGTCGAGCTATACTGGTACCTGCAGTGCCTTGATGTTYCATCTGAGATAGTAGCTTGAGGACATGCATGGAATCTGTACAAATATTAATATGGCACTGTYGTTCCATTCCAAGGGCCATTTCYACCGCCTTTGCTTCCAACCACTGGGCACTCTCAGCGTCCCCTTCCCAAGTCACCGCATTCCATTGCTCCTTCTTCCGCCAGGTCACTGCTGCGCTTTTTGTAACACTGGATGCGTCCGTAAAGTATGTTGTCCCTGATTTGGGCGTCTCCGTTATCCGAGGAGTCAAGGTAACTCCAATACTGCGGACGGGGTCATGCCATTGAGGGGATGCTCCGGTGACAATTTCTCCCGGGTAATCTATCAGCGCTAGCTGGAGCTCCTCATCAATCTGCCATTGGTGTTGTATCTGCCTTTTTGACCATGTAAATTGTATTGTATCAGACTCTTTGCCAAACACTCGGATACAGGTGTGTCGTAGGTCACCAACCATCCTGCTGATGGCATTCAGGGCCGACAGAAGGCTTCCTTCTGGGTTCACTGGTATTGCCACAATAGGGGTCTATCTTTTCCTTTTAAGTTCTGGAATAATAGGCCAACGATGCCTGCAGGCAGAGTTGCCCACCCAGCATTGATGGACTCTGACGGTCCTCTCCTGCAAATTGCATCAGTGGTCATTCATTGCTCAACTTCTTGCAGGATCTGCTTGCTCTCTGCAGTGAGCGCTCGGATTTCCCAGGGATGCTTCCCATTCGGGAGTTCATAAAAGGGGTTCAACTGCTCATGGGGAATATATACATACTGACGCAATCACTGGAGTGCTCCTATTAGCTTCTGAGCATCATGTAGGTTCTTTATGTCTGGTTGAAGGTGGATGGGTTGGGCATGTACATCTCGAGGAGTAACTATCGCTCCCAGGAACTTTATCGAGGTTCCTTTCTGAACCTTCCTTTTGGCTATTGCTAGTCCTGCTGTCTTTAATTGGTCTACTGTCTGCATTAAAATTTCTTCGCAACTCTGTGTTGACTCTGATGCAATGAGTATGTCGTCCATATAATGGATGATGTAAGCCTTCGGATATTCTGATCCGATTGGTTCGAGTGCTGCCCCCACATACATCTGGCAGAGTACTGGAGAATTTGCCATTCCTTGGGGTAGTACTGTCCATTGCCATCTCTTAGCTGGCCCTATGTTGTTTACACTGGGTAAAGTGAAGGCGAAACACATAGAGTCCTTTGGAGCCAATGGAATGCTAAAATAGCAGTCTTTGATATCTACTGCTATTACTGGCCACTCTTTGGGAATGGCGGATAATGCAGGAAGCCCTGGCTGGAGCGCTCCCATCAGCTCCATTTGTGCGTTCACTGCTCGCAGGTCGTGTACTAGGCACCATTGGTTCTTGTCCTTCTTCTTGATAACGAATACAGGGGCATTCCAGGCGCTTGTTGAGGGGGCTAAATGTCCTGCTTGGACTTCACGCTCTACTGTTTGGTGTGCCGCCTTTAATTTGTCCTCAGTTAGGGGCCACTGCTCTATCCACACCGGGGGTTCCGTTTTCCAACCTATCTCCCCAAGTGTGCGACTCCTTAGAACAGTGGCCCATTGGATAAATTTGATATACCAAGTTGCATTTGCATCAAAGCATCACGTCCGAGTAGGCTCCGCTCAACTTGTGTAATTACGGGTCGCAGCGTAGCTGCTAAGCGTCTTTTGAGGGGGTCCTCTGGGTTGTCTTCAGTCTCAATAGATACCGGTAAACTGCTGCTCATGAAATTCTGCAGCTCACCCACTCCATATAGTTGTTGCCCAGTAGCTGCCGTCCAGGATAGGAGCCAATCTTTCCTTCATATGACTATTACATCTGCCCCCGTATCTATTAACATTCCAATAATAACTGTGCTAGGTCGTGCACAGTTGGATTCGTTGTTGATTTAATCATCGCTGCAACTATCGGGCATTTTTGGCAGCTCATTGCCAAGGCCATGTGGAAGGGAGATGGCAATTCTCCATCCCATCCTCCATTGCTGGTCCTGCAGTCACTGCTGCTGTCTGTGCTGCTTGGGAAGGTGGCATCCAGGGCTTTATTTCCCGGGGATTCTGGGCTTGCACTACTTTCATAGGAGGACCGGCACCCTGGATTTTCTGGCCTCCCCAACAGTTTCCCGCCCTCTGCTTGTTCTTTCRGCAGTCCTTTACCACATGCCCTCTTTTTCCGCATTTCCAACATGGTCCTTTTATGGCTGCTCTGGTTGGACAAACCACCTTAAAATGGCCTGGTTGTCCACACAAGTGGCACCGAGGGTCTGCCACCCTCATTGCATGTGTTGGTTGACTTATGCTGGCCTCTTGCATTAGAACAGTCCTGAGCAGGGTAGCTACATGTGTGTTGACTGGGACGTTCCTCAGGATGTCTTTCACTAGAGGAAGTACCCGCTTGTTTGCGTTTTGCGGGAGCTGTGACATTTCTATGGCCTTTTGTAATCGCGARCAGAATTCCATAAAAGATTCCACCAGGTCCTGAGTGATCTGYGTCCAGGGGTCCACTTTCTTATCATACTGTGCTATATCCCG